CTGTTTCAATGTTGTGTCCTGATAATGCTGACTGCGTGACGTGTTTTAGCCTGACATCACGTTGGTGTTCTTTTATCTGTAGATTGACCATTCTCCCGGTTTCTCCAATGTATACTTGCCCGCAGGAACAAGGTATTTTGTATACTCCTGCGGAGCTGAGTGGAAGTCTTTGATCTTGTCCTATCTTTTTGAATGGTTTAAAGATAGTTCGGATATTGTGTTTGTTTAATATCCTACCAATCCTATCTGTTGTTCCTTTGACATATGGGAGAATGGATAGAATCCTTTCGCCTGATTGTGTGTCAGAGACCGTTGTCTTGTTTGTATGTTTATTGATTGGTTTAATTATGTCTTTTTTGTCATGTCCGTTTTTCTGTAAGGCTAATTTTAAGTGGTTGAGTTCTGTTTATAGATGTTCTTTGTCAGAGATGATGAAAGCTCTGTGTACAAGTGAGTTGATTGCAGACTGTTTCTGTGATGGGTGGTAGTGCGACTCGGCATGTAGGTATCTATCTGTGTGTGTTGGTTTTCTGTACACTTGATGGCCTAAGGTACCGTCAGCTTTCTTAGAGACAAGAACATATAGGAAGGTGAGTTTTCCGTTTTCTTTTATATTTATAGTGAAGTGAATATTTGGATGTTGATTGTTGAGGAAAATAAAGAATTTACAGAGTTCAGCTCTACCGTGTCTCCATATCACAAATGTGTCATCTACATAACGGAACCAAACTTCTGGTTTCTTAGGTGTTTTTGTGAGAGCCTCTTTCTCAAAATGTTCCATGAAGATGTTGGCGATTACAGGAGAAATAGGAGAGCCCATTGCCGTTCCTGAAGTTTGTTCATAAAATTGGTTGTTATAGGAGAAGTAGGTGATTGTTAAGCAGTGTTCTATTAGAGTTATAAACATTAAATTTTACTTTCGTTTGGAAGGTGAAAAATTACATGATTTTTAGAAATTTTTTAAAAAGAAATGAGTTAAAATATATTAATATGAAACTTTTTTAGACTTTATTTACGTACAAAATAGATACGTAAAAATATTTTCATGTTCCTATAGAAGTAGCAGTAGCAGTAGCAGTAGCAGTAGTAGTAGTAATGCAGGTGGGGCTAGCAGTCGCCTAACGTGATCTAGATCTCTAAAGTTCTATTGTCACTCCCTGCTTGTTTTTAAAGTAGTGCAACCAAACTCAGCCCCGCTCCGTGTACCAAACTTATGAGGTCGTCTATCTTTGTTCCGTCTAGATCCTCGGATGTTGAGAAACATATAGCTCCAGGATCTATATCTCTTGCAGGCAAGCATAGGACAGCGACACAAAAGTGCACCCCTTGCTTTCCTCTCCACATAGTCGGCAGTTTTTGTTCAATCAGTCCTATATTGAATAAGTGTGCTCTGAGGGGTAAGTGTCCTGTAAGAAGGCCTATACCCATTCTCAGTTTTTCTTTTCCCATTGCTGCCAGCTCTTTTGTTCTGGCCGAATTGGATTTTTTCATAAATTTCTTAGCTCGCCACTTTGTTTCTTTCCAGAAATTTAAGTGCTCCCGCTGCAACATTTCTTTAATCTTTCTTTTACCTAGTACGAAGGGAATTCCGACAGTTTGTTCAGCCGGATCCATTTCTGTCCCCAGCTTTACTAGCCTGTTCGCCTTCTCGTTGCCCAGTATTCCCTGATGACTAGGGACTAAGGTAACTTGACTTGTTCCCCCTAGTTTGTTGAGGGCTTGCATACAGTCCCAAACTATAAACGGTTCTGTAGAGGTCTTGCAAGTGTATTTATAGCTGCTCTGTTATCCAAGCAGATGCAAATATAGTTCCTGATTCTTCTATCGATCAGGAGTTCTGCACATCTTGAGATGGCAAGTAGACCTCAGCTTGAAAAACCATGGACAGTCTTCCTATTAGTATGCTTTCTTCATGATTGGCGTTGGGGCCGTATATGCCTGCCTTAAAACGATCATTTGTTCCCGATCCATCCATGTACCATACATCCACGTTTCGATTGGTTAGAAAATTGGGAGTCCTCCCTAGCTGATATTTGAACATTAAAGGTCTTTTCCAGTAGGTATTTCCTGGGAATGCTGTCTTGCTTCAGTGTGAAGGGAAACTTGTTGGATAGACCCACCTTAGTGTGGCCAAGTCTGGTTTCCTTTCATTCCCCCTTTACCCTGTATACTGCTCGTCTTGCTATGCTGATGATCACCAGGTGCAAGGGTGGAAAACTGAGTACCATCTCCAGCGCCTTGGATTCCATGGTCCCTGTCGCAGCCTTCAGGTATCCCCCTGAAGGCTCTCGAACAAGTTCCTCGCCTCCATCTTCTTCATCCTTGGCGATGGACAATCGCAGCATACGTCAATCTTGGTAATAATATCATTTTGTATAGCCACAGAGCAACCCTGGGTTTTATTCCCCAGTTCCTGCCCATGACTCTTCTGCAAGTTCACATAGAGATGTAGAGCTTTTTCCTCCTATCTCGAGGTGTGTTTTCTTAGCTCAGCTTAGGATCCAGGTATACTCCTAGATACTTCACTGAGCTAGTGTAGTTAATTACCTTGCTCCAAAGCCTCAAAGGCTCTATTTATTTGAACTTGTATTTCCTGGTGAAAACCGAGGTCTTTTTCGGATTTACCATTAGTTCCCTCATCCTATACTAGTTTTACATGATCATCAAGGCTTTGTTCATGAAAATCGTGAGAAAATTGCCTCTAGTGACTATGGCCATGTCTGCGTAGCCGTAGACCTGAAAGCCAGATTCTCTCAGCATTGTGAGGAGCTCGTCTACCATCAGGCACTATAGCAGAGGAAAGAGAACTCCCCCCTGTGGGCAGCCTAACACCGAACGCCCCTCAATGGTGATATTGCCATGACTGGTAGTCAGTTTTCTGTCCTCCAGCATGTTTTGAGTCCAGTCCACAAGTGTGTCTGGAATTTTGTGTCTTATCATGGCGTCCTTCACCGATGAGATTGAGATGCTATCAAAAGCCCCTTCAATGTCGATGCAGATACCTAACGCGTATCCCCTTACGGCCAGCTGAGTCTTGACCCCGCTCACTAGGTGGTGCAAGGCTGTATCGGTAGATCTGCCCTCCTTGTATGCTGTACTGGAAGGAGTTTAGCGGCCCAATAAGAAGGGCTTTGTTTTTCAGATATCTATCAATCAGTCTCCAGTGTCTTCAAAATGAAGAAAGTGAGACTGATAGATCTATAGTCTTTAGTCACAACGTGGCCTTTTCTCCCTGGGTATAAACACCACTCTAATGCCACTCTATGCTTGAGGGATGTTTCTCAAGGCTATACTAGCATCTTTATCAGGGAATCCATGCCTTCTTTGAGCAGCACTAGGTGCCATCTGGTCCCAGAGACATGTAGAGTTCGAAGGTTTTTATAGCTCATTCGATTCCGCCAGGTGATACCACTTTTGCTGTCAATGATCATTCCCTGGGATTATATTCTCAAAGTTGATTTGTTTCTTGGTAAGTACAGCAGGTGTCCTTCTGGAAGCCTGGAAAGTGAGTAGACATTAGATGTTTAAGGGTTTTATCTATTACCTCGGCGTGGTTTCCGTTTAGCTTTAAGCAGCTCAGATGGAAAATGTTGTCTTTGCTGAGGATTTTGTTTAGCCTGGATGCTTCAGGAGCGCTCTCAATGCTTTAACAAAAATTTCTCCAGCTTTTTCTTTTAGCGATAATTATCGTTTTGCTATAACAGCGTTGTATTTGTCTGTAAGCTTTTCAGTCCGTTGTTAAGTTTTTCCTTCTTGCTTTGTTGAAGAGCTTTCTCACTTTCAATCTGTGTTTCGAGAACTCTTCGCTCCAGCATAACATCTTAGTCGGTGGGTGTTTCGACTGGGACAGTTTGTCTCGTAAGCTTCTTTTATTGAGTCACTCACATACTGAGCCATGAATTCTAGATTCTCCTTAAAATGAAATCTGGTTGGGGCGTTCTTTAGAATGGCCTCAAGGTCTGTCCTATAGCTCTTCCAGTTTCGTTCTTTCGCCCAGAGCACCAGTTCTTCAACCTTTTTCTGTGGTGGTGCTACTTGGGAGTCATAGGATATGTATACCGACCCCACTAGTACATCCAAGTGGTTGTCCTTGTTCAGGTTGAGCCTTAGTACCACGATCATGTTTCCGTCGCTGAGCTGTGACATAAGAAGTATTTAGTCCTACAATGCAAGTCCTTATCCTAAGTGTCTGCTTTGTATATAACTCTGCAATCATTCATTGATAGTATTATTCAGAAGTCGTAGCTCTTGAATAAGTGCTATTGCTGTCTACATTACAATCACGCTCCTGGCTAGAATCGCCGATGCGCCTTTGCTGTGATGCAAGTTAATTTGTACTATCGATAACTTGAGACCTGTGAAATCTAAGCGGTCTCCTTCGTCCTTGGAGTCATCTCCCCCTTGTGTTTATTATCGAGCAACTTTACAGTTGCTCGACCTAGCCCACAAGAGGGTTTAAAGCCGCAGGTCTTGAGAGCCTTTAGGAAAGCGCCGTCGATCATGGCAGCGAAGTGGACGCTCTTGGCGTTTGCTTTCGTTCTCATAACGATCCATTCCTTGGCACTCAGATCCGCGTTTTGCCTGTCGAAAAGTTTAATAGCTTCTCCGACAGCCACCAAATCAGACTCTTCTACATGTACCACCACCCGGGGTCGCTTGGGAAACTTCCCGGCCGGCAGCATATGCAAACTATGTCCACCTATATTAAATTCGGTGGATTGGTTTTTTAGCCAATCCACCGATTGTTGGTTGGCGTAGTTAATAATAACTGTACCCATCCCTCTCCAAGGTTCCAATGAAGGCAGGTGCTAGTCCATTTTCGGAAAGATCGAGAATACGCTGCGTGATCAATTTCCTGATCTCGTTTACCTCACTGGAACCTAGCTTGTTTTCAGAATAACCGTTCACTACGAGGGCCATCCTGATAGTCCCCTTTGTCGCCTGAGCAAACGACTCTCGGTCGACGACCTTGAGTTTCTAGCTCGGGCGACTGTCCGTCGGGCTGGGGGTGCAGTGCTTCGGCTTTGTGCGTTTAACCGTGCTGGCCGCACCGTCTCCCCCCCCCCCGCTCACTACGCTTGAGGGAGTTGGAGTTTGGGCTGCTGCAGCCTTCTCCCTTTTGTAACGGCGGTTGGTGGCGCCGCTGAAACGAGGACGGGTCTTGGTTAGACGCGCCTTCGCTGTATTATTTTCCTCTAATCGTCCGCTTCCTAGGGAAGCCACGCCCTGGAGGACTTGTTCAAGGTTTGTTTTTGGTTTGTTGTCGTTATTCTCCATATAATTCCCACGAATACTGCGGTCGCGTGATCTCATCCGGGCAGAGCCGCGAATGCCCGGGGCTTGGTTATTATTCCTGGAGGAGGCCCGGTATCCAGGAGGCACCGTTCGAGACGCAACTGCCCTTGCGCCATGCAGCTCCAGGCACGATAGCTTACACCCTAACTTGGGGGAGTTCTCTTAGTTGATTGCCCACGGGTCCACCCCTGACTGGATGGTACCGCAGGCGACCGTAAGCCCCGCAACCCGTTATGGCCCGGGAGCTCGCGGCCCTCAAGAACGACAGGCGCACACTTCGTTGGTCGATATTTACCTCATCAGACGTTTGAAGACATTGTATCTACGTTAACAAGTTAAAGTTGATCTTCGTGCACTATTGCTATGGGGCGTTCAGATCACGCACTTCCGCGGGCCCCCGCCTCATGACTACTACAAGGTGGGAACTCTTGTTCGGGGGATCATGTTCATATAAATCGTATAGAAAAAGATACACGATGGTACACAAGACGTATGAAAATATTTCTTATCGCGTTGACATGATTCCGTTACTTCTAGTAATCTAAAACAAAAAAGTCAAAGAAATTATTAAATTATAAGAACAATAAGAATCTTATTAGGCCGTACATATGAGAACAAGATAAGAATTAGACATTACAGATTTATAACGGCCAAAACTAGATCTTTGATGTTTAAATAATTCAATCCCAGATAGCACAGAGTTCAAAAGAGTTCAAAAAGAATCCAGTAATATTCTTGTTGCATCTGAAAATAAGCATGAATTCTTGTTGCATCTGAAAATGAGCTCAGAATCAAGACATATTACTGAATTCTTTTTTAACTCTGTGCTATCTGGAATGTGAATTATATATTGTAATATATATATATATATATATATATATATATATATACTATACATGTACATACATATGTAAATATATATCATATTTTTGCACTAAAAATACATTTCTACGTAAAAATGACAGTAAGAGGTACAACCTCCAATGACTTTAATCTTGACAAATGTTATCCAGATCATGGTCCTGAACAACATTCAAGAGGTTTTAGCCTCGGTCAGATACTTTGGGTAATGCTTAATGCTGACGATACTGTAACTTTCAAGCATTATAACTCAAAAACTACTTCATGAAAAAGTATTTTATTATAGTGTTTTGGAAAGCTCTCGGGGTGTGCTACAAGAATATGCAATAAAAAATTGGAAGTTACATTTAAAAAAATTCAAAGTAACATTGCTCTTGGTGATACCACCCAAGGTCAAACTGATCAGATCACTAAATAGATCATTTAGAACCCCATAACTTTTGTCTGAAACATTTTTTTCTAAAATGCTCTGTTTCCGATTTAAAATGGGTGTACGGGTGGTCTGAGACACCCTGCATATAAATATGATATGTACATACAGGATGTGCCAAAATCCGGACAAATCGAACAATTTCTTTAAACAAAATGTTTTTATGAAAAAAATTAAATATTACAAAAAATCCTTTTACATGGCACTTGGGGGATCCCTGTAAAACACAATTATTCGATCTCTCATTAGCTTGAATGGCGGCCTTTATTCTCGGTCTGAAGCGTTCGCACGCATGCTGTAATGTAGCGCTGTCCATGCCGACGAATGCTGCCTCAATAGCGGTCCTTGATGACGTCACATTGGGATGCCGAAATTTGTTTGTGACCCTTTCAACTACACGCTCCATACGTAGTAGTTCAAGAGATTTAATCTGGGCTGTTGGGAGGCCAAAATTTCTTGGATCAAAACATATCGACGTTGTCTGAGATCCAATTTTGAATGAGTCGTATGCCGTGCATCGTTCTGCTGAAAAACATGTGGCCTTCCGGACGCTACAGTTTCCATCCACGGCTTCACTACATCCATCAGAACGTGCAAATACACTTCTTTTGTTACAGTTTCCCCTTTTTTAAAGAAATGTGGTAGCATGACATCACCCTCACTGGACACAACGCCTAGCATGAAAATTGACCGGAAATTTCGTTTTGGCAACAACAGGAACATCCGCGGGGTTATAGGCAAGCCATCGGTCATTTCTCCGGTTGATTTTGATATCAACAGTAAACATTTTTTCGTCAGAAAAAAATCTGATTGGTTCCGACGCTTCGTTTTTCAAAGAATACAATAGCAGATTGCAGCGAGCAACTCGGCTTGTCCTGGCAGTCTCAGAGAGCATTTGTCGTATCTTTAATGTGTACGATTTATATCGAATGTCCTCCTTGGCAATTCGACGCATTGTTGGTCCGCTTACACCAAATCAATGCTAATTTTCGCAACGATTGTCTTGGGTGAACCGAAATCAGCGTTTGAGCCTTTTCAACAACTGCGGGGGTCCTTGCGGTGCGTTCTTTCGAGTGACTTTTCTTCGCTGATATATTGAAACCTTCGTTGGACTGTTCTAAAGCCGTATATTTTGCCACGTCATAAACAGTTGATCTCGGATATCCAAAGAACTAAATTATTTCCGTTGCTGAGCGTCTAGCGCGAAGGCCTTTAATGATCGCGGCTCTTCGATTATATTCCGCACTTGGTTTTAACATCGTGACCATTTTGAGAATTTTGAGAATGTTTACTAGAAGCATTAGGCTTTTTCTCGGACGTTTATATTATATACAGGAATCAAAATCCGGACAAATTTCAATTTAAATTTTCCGCTATATTGTGCCTCCGCCAGAGATTGTTGAGATCTCTGGCGGAGGCACAATATAGCGAAAAATTTAAATTGAAATTTATCCAGATTTTGATTCCTGTATATAGTATAAATTGTAAGAGTGTGTGTAATACTATTACTAGAACTAAAATATAAGAAAAAAATCGAAAATTATTAAAATGGTAATGTTTTCAAAAACCGATATTGATTTTCATTTATAAATTTGATTTGCATTACTCGAGCAATTTGAGCCTCTTTACTCTGTTCGGTGTTCCGTTTCACTGCGTATACTTTCCGATTATCGTCTTTGAATTCGGAAAAAATCGTACATTGTAGGTCAATAATTATTCTCAACGATGCCATTCACTTTTTTATAGCATAAAAGCCTTCATTGAAAATGTACAATATATAACAATAATTTTATATCATTAAATTGCTGATTTTTCATCATATAAATGTTCTATAAATATGGATATTTATAATGCTATAATATTTTACATTGTTGCAAAATTTCAATTTTTTCCTTACAGATGTTTTTTTTTAGAAGACAATTTCTGAAAATCCGATTGGATATCCGGAAAGTATCAAATATCCGACTCAAAAAATTGCCTTTCTAGATATTCGATCGGATATCGGATACCCGATGTTACTTTTTTCTCGGATATCCGATATCCGGTAATTTTATGATCTAATGCAACCTACCAAAAATGATGTTATTTCATTTAACAGATTGAAAAAAATTTTCTTATACAAAATAAATAACAATAAATAAAGGGCAAAGTGAGAGTCAATACATTTCTTTAAAAAAGTCATACAATTAAAAGAATAAATTACAGATAGAGAAAAGTAAAATATATAATAAAAAATAAAAAATAATAAAACTCAGTTTAAATACAAATAAATTACAAGTTTCGACTACCGGATTGAGACATTAATTCCCTCTTCAGACATTAACTTATCAAAAAACTCGCAGTACAAATTAATTATCGTAAATGTTCGCATATTCATTATATTCACAGTTCGAGTGAGTCTTGCTGTAGAACCCGACATTATTCACGTGCGATTGAACAGTCAAATGTGTTTCATATCTCTTGAAAAAGTTTTAGTTGATAAAAAAGATAAAAAGATTTCTTACGAAAAAATAAACGCAAATAAATTAACATACCGGAATTCTAATAAGAAATAAAAACTCACCAAAAAATATATGAAATTATTCAAACAAGTGTATCCATATAAGTATAAAAAAACCATTAGAATATATAAGGACAAGTGAAACGCAGATGTGTAAGACGGACATTGTGTATCGATTAACAAATGTTATGTACGCTCGCTGATACGAATCACCACGGACTGAGAGAAGAGACGGACTGTCAGTATCGAAAAGTCAAACCTTATTTACAATAGGTATATATGTCTTATGAAGACCTTCAGTGTCAGTTTGTAAATTCGAACTATTTTTCTGCTACTTAATATTGAGCGTTTCGAAAATTAAGCGTTTCCTATAGCAAGGCTCTTCATCTAAAATTTTAACATTATCCCATTGGAAATCATGATCATACTGCAGCCTGTGATTCGTTATGACAAAACGGACAGAAGCGTTATGTCTAGTATGATTACGATGTTCTGTAATTCTGGTTTTCAATTGTCTGCCCGTCCAACGTACGACGCATCACAATTATTACATGATGTCTTATAGACTATATTGCTCTTAGATGTATGGGGATAAATATACTTTAATACATTTACCCATTTTATTAGGACTATGAAAAGATATATATATATATATATATATATATATATATATATATATATCCTGATGTCGTTTTTATTAAACCGTTTAAATTTTTCTGTGTGAAGAGGAATAAATGGTACCGTAAGCCAAGATGCAGATTTATTCGCACTGACATTATCAACCAAATCTTTATGTGCTAAGTGTCTATTTCTAATTAAATTTTTTTATATGTTGATTAACTGTGTCAAAAATAAAAGTTAATGGGTAGTCATTATCTAGTAAAACGTTAATAATAAATGTCAAACTTTATATGAAACGTAAAGTCCGAAAGTAAAAAAACTCTGTCAACAAGCGAATAAATTATTCCCTTCTTTTGTGCAATAAGATGATTTGAGTTGAAATTTAAAAACCTCCCTGAAAAGGTAGGTTTACGGTCAATACCAATCAAAAATAAAATGAAGTTTGTTAATAGAAATAGTGATATCCAGAAAATTTATTTTATCTCCCCCTATTTCTGAAATGAATTAAATTATTGTAGTAAAATATCAATTTTAGAGGGAGAAACTTAGAGGCAGAAGCGGTACAAATGTCATCTACATCTCTATAATAAAATAAAATGTCCAAAT